TATCTAACTTTCGTTTGTTCCTTGTTTCCGCTCTATTCGGGATTCACTACGCACGAGTACCGAAGACCGGAAACACGGTTTCGGTGGATTTGTTAGTTGCATTGTGTAACTTAATCACTATGTACGCAATTCTCGAGATTTTGAGAAGCACAAGATAATTACGTATACAAACGGCAAATATCATTAACCCCCTTATCTTGTTATTCTTATTACCATATTTCTGAGTAACTCCAAGTCTGTCTCGCTGGCTGCTGGTGACGAAGTGACTCAGGTGTTTGGCTTGTAGTTCACGGACCATGGGCGATTTCACACTATTATTCCAGTCTGCATTCAGCCTCTGGTGGCTGCATAGCAGCGAAAAGTCGGCACCTGGTTCCAGCGTTCTGCTGACAACTATTATCTATTCGTGTGTGTGTCTGGTAATTGATGACAAGGAACTTATTGCCAGCATTGCACTCGCAAGCCTGACTGCGAACTGTGTCCTAACCGGTTTCTCACATGAACTTTGCTCCTTATCTATGCACAGGGCTTCACTGTTTACGCTGGGACGCTTGTGATTCGTATTCATTTACCGTTCGTTAACAGATTACTCCTCTTGGGAGCACGCGCCTCAGGCGATTTCACTGTTACAACTGCGAGCACAGATTAACTATGATTGTTCAAGCGCTTTCTTCGGTTAGCTTCGCTTTTTGTCCCACGAAAGCATTATATGAGAACAACTTTACCACGGTGGATGATAAGATCTTGTCGGAGCCGTGTGTTACCAAATAGATTATCTGGCAAATGATCTCAATCTCGTTACCCTCTTTTTGCAGGCACGTGATATTGGCCCACGTGCTATGCTAGCATTAAAGTCGCAGCTGATCTCAGAAGCCACACTCTTGCTCGAGCTTTACCCTCTTGAATCTCAGGTTAAGGAACCTTCTGATGCATTTTTCCGCTGCTATTCAGGTTGCATTGTGTTGTTGTTTTTGTTGTCGTTTTTGAATGAAATAAGCGCATTATATTTCGCTAGTTGTCCGGCTGTTTCAGGAAGATTTCATGACTTGTACCTCGCTGTCCCTGAATTATTGACTGCTAAATTAGACCATGAAGTAGTGCCGCTTCGCGTTTGTCTGTTTGTTTTCTAAGAGGATGTATCAAGTACGAGCATGCACCAACTTGACGATGCTGCATCATTCTGCAACTTGTGTTTGAATTGTCGCTTGGCACCTCGTGATTCAAGATAACTCATTCGACCGCACGGAACATTGTTGATGGACTGAACTGTGCTGCACATCGGTTTTCAATTACAACATTCTCACCCTCCGATGATACCACCTTCGCTTTGCTCATCTCTACTTGTCTCTTCCGCTTAGGTCTTACATTTGTATCGATTTATTCACCATCTTGCCTTCTTTCAGGTAACTCTTCCACATTAACGAGTACTCAACCCAACTTCTCTACCTCACGATCAACGGCTCTGTCTTCACACGATGTGCCCACGGACTATAAGGAAAGTCACTACGGGAAGATTAGTGTTCGTGAGTCTTTGGCCAGTTTGCGGGCCCGAAAGGCAATGCCCCACCTGGGTCCACCATTTCCCAGAGTTCCCGCGGCTCGCCACGATCTATCTGCGAATGCTACGGTAAGGTTAAGCACCAAGTGCGCTTATATTGTTACAATTGGGGATTTTATTCATATTTCCATTTGTGACGCTTTTACCGATTCTAGTCGGTTTCTGCGCGACTCGTTTGCTAAGCCACCATCTCACATGACAGTCACGGTTCATTTGAACGGGATCATGTTGAAGTTTTCTTAGCAACGACATCTTCATCCCACACTCTTAAAGAGTGACGATTATCCAGCCTGGGTTCCATTTTCACCTTACACGGTGGTTCTCATGTCTGAATACAGCTTCACTGGTTCTTGATTAGAATTCCACGCATACCACTTCCCAGTGTCTACCTTGTCCGCAAACAGTTATTCACATTCTCTTTCTCACAACAGCTGATGTTTCCTTGTCGTTGTATACCCCCTGCGGTGTTAACTTTATACTTTACCCCATCCACTCCTTCATCCACGATCGTCCACTTGCCTGATTGTTTCCATGGTCATCCTCCTGCTCAGTCTCCTTAAACATACCCATAGACGAGTGCACTTACGTCGTAGCTATATCTTGCGGTACGTTTTGGAAGTGATCACTTTCACGGATGGTGAATTTTTGTGATCCACAGTTCCTCGCTTTTGACTGGAGTCAGCCAACAGTGGCGGTGTTTGATCTAACTTCAGCGCATGTTCACATTAATATGTGCCGATATTATAACCAGTCCGATCGCCTTTCCCATTACGTTGTCCTGCCGTACTGTTTCCTGTAATTGCCACACCCAGCTAGGTCCATACGGTGTTTGTTCTCTCATTTGAATTCCAGTCCGAATACGAACGCGTTTCCAGTTCGGCAAGCGACACGAACACTTCCGTCTATGACTTTCTCCCGCAGGCCTCAGCTTCTAAGGAGGCAGCACCGGATGCCCCACACATCCTCGGTCCGATCAAAAAAGAAGCTCGGTTTGATCAGCTAGTTGACGCCTACGCCGAAACCCCGTGTAAGCTTCTCTCTCCACAAACATCTAACTGAACTAAGCTATCGCATTGTTCCTAGAATTATTATTTATTTGGCATAAATAGTACGTGTTTTTACGTGCATTAGCACGATTTCTATGTATATGATGTGAACAGAAGGTACACGCTAATAATGCTAAAATGTGTATAAAAATGCGTTTAGTTCGTATACAATGAAGTTTATAAATGAATACAACAAGAACAAAATAATATCTGCCTTATTTCTGGTTCACTGGGTAATCCGTTGGTTAGGAAAAGCCTGTGTTTCAACACACGGTTGTGGTACGCACAGGGCCTTGATAGTGGCGTGTGCTAAGTCCGCGTATGCACATGTGTGTACGAACGAGCGCGCTCGTACAATGTGCGTAAGATATTTGTTTTACATTCTGTTCACTGGAATGTGAGCGTTCGTCGTAGGTGTGTGCATTGATATCAGCTTTTATGGCCGAAAGCAATACTCCAGCGATTGATTAGCATTTCCAAAGACCGGCGTCGGCAATATGGCAAGGTCTCTACACATGTTTACCGACGTTCACCGCTGCATCGATATTTGGGTTATGTACCGCGGTTTTCGCTCCCAATGCAAACTCGATGATTGGGAACCCATGTGTTTTGTGATAAGCCGTTGGAAATATGTAAGGAGACCGATATCACATGTGCCGGGTTACAGGACTACCGGTCGTACAGCAAGGCTTCCCCTGAATTCCGGTCAACACCGCTCCGTTAAGCTTCTCCGGATAGTGTTTCCCTTGATACAGTTAACTCCATCTAGAAACGACTAATGCATCAACACTTCTAGTTCACATCCGGCCCATAGCCTAAAGTTAACGAGCTTGTAATCTGACGGCGCGTGTTCGAGCCTGTGTAGCGGTAGGGTGATCCTCGCAGCGTCCTTAGCCCACTTGCGACCAGTGGTAGTTGCGCGGCAGTGAAGCGTCGGTACTCCGTACCGACGTATGACTGATGCCTTTCTCTTCTTTTCTCTAGTCCACATACTGTATTCCCTCTCTCTCCCTAGATGGTTGTACTGCGATTCCGTCTAATTAGTATCGCTTTCAGCAGACCACACCGCCTAACCATGAGATGACCCTGCACACGTAGACGATCACTGTGCCTGCTTAGGTCAATCAACTGACCCGGTGCGACTGCGGATGTCTTGTTACCAAACACTAAGCAGTCAACATCATTTTTCCCATGCAGTGCTGCAGCCGAATGTGAGCTATATTTTGTAGACCTCATCTGTTTGTGACGTAGGACTCCTTCGGCGTTCGCCTTTTGCATATAAACACACTGTGCTCCACGTGAAATGTTTTTCTTCCACTGGTGGTTTAAGATGCGGAGCAAATACCATTCCGCACAACTGTTTCATTGGGGATTTTGGTACCTGCTTATCTTCGGCAGTCTATTACCATGAGCTGGGTTGTTCGTCTATCGTGACAATCTGTGCACTTAGAAGACTCGAGGAACGTCACACTGTCTCGCGACTTTTGCCCAACAGATTGACTTCTTCCATAGACTGATATGTTGTGCACGCTGAATACTAATACTGTGGGTCATTGAGTCATTTGGTAGCATTTGAATCCAAACTGGCGAATATTCAGTCGATGTGCTGAATGGATAAGACGAAGTGACACAAATGTGATGTCATTTCATGGGCCCTCCCTCTAAAGTCATTTTAGGAATAATTTAAAGTAGAGCGAAAGCTCAGCTGTGCCATCTAGTGGCTTGCAGCCGTACCATTCGCCGTTGGATTCCACTAAATATATGATAAACGATTTCGCAACATATCGTACGAATAAGCGATGCCCCTGTTTCGTTTGACGAATGATGAAAATATATTCATCCCACACAGCACGGGACCGAAGTGTACTTGGCCTTCTTAACCAATTGGAGCGAATAATCTATCACTACCCTCCCTCCAACTAATGTCCTGCAGCCCCGTGCGGATCTGCAGACTGCAACCGATGGTCTACCGCCCGTATGCAATTATTCTACGCATTTCCACCTGTTATCGAATCGGACGATTAAAGTTAACACGTGCCTGAGCGCCTACTGAGGTCTGCATCTGGGGAAGGCCTCGACGTCGTAAGCCTACTTGTCATCTCGAGGCATCTCTGATCTCTCCAACAATATGTTTATGTTCACTGCAACTTTCATTGACCAGGCGGTTGATAATTACACATTGAGAATGCTAAATTCACCTTCCTTGTGAGAATGGCTCTTTTCTAATCCTTATTCTCAACAACGGCTCCGTAGCAGGTCCTTGAAATCGGCCATTGCCTTTTTCGTCGAACATCAATTTTTACATTGTTTGCTGTAGATATATCATTTTTACACGAATAACCTGGTAGATATTTTATTAGAACAACATCCAAACTCACTGAAACCAATCTATTATACCCACGTTTTGAATATAGATGCTGAACTATCGCACACTACCGCAGATCTCCCATCTTTGGATAAAAAAGTTTTACGTCAATTGTAGCGAGTTATGAAGAACCTTTTAATGGCACTTTGCCCTTTTCAATGGACTCAAATCCCGAAGGCATAGCGCAGCGTTATGTGATCGTTGCTTGATCGAGTTATCATTCCACTACATTTTTCTACCCATTTGTAAACTAGCATTTTGGATGGTGTCCGTTTAGTAAATTTACAGTTGATACTGTAAATTGTTGAAAACGCACCCATTTGGGTTCATAAATTTTGTGCTGCCTTAACTTGATCTCATAAAACCTTACAGACCTCGCATTAGTAGTCAATTGGGATAACGTTTGCTTACTTCTGATGGAGGTGACCCTATCTTTCAAGGTATTCCCTTGCAACGACGGCCGCGACAATTCATAGTTGTAGCCAGGCACCGCTTCACGATGTCGTTACCACTCCTTCGATTGTGTAACGAAACCGGTTTTATAACTTATTTGCATTTTACCGACAACCTGAAATCTATTCACCACACGCACTTTTTCATTTAGCAAATATTTGCCGCCTTTGAACTAATGCCATCTTTGCGGTTTACTTAACTGGCCGATTGATAGTAGTTTCCTAACCGAGTTCATCTGACATGCGAGTGAGATGGTTGGCGGCATCCGGTTTCGGATTTACCTGTCACTGTGGCCAGCCACAGGACGCCTGCGCCTACAGAGGGACCATGGATGGCTTGCGCTGCACCACCCACAGCTCCACCCACACACCCCATATCCAGTGTAAACCCGAAGGAATAAGACCTGGGAGGCATGTGGATGGGAGCCACGTTTCATCAACGGAGACGGCCCACACTCCCTTACAGGCACAAGCACGCTGTATTTGGGGAATCAATCGCACACGAGGCGGTGGCTGGACCGTAGTCCTCTCTACACTGAGTGCATGGAACTAATCTTCGAGCCTAGCACGACCACAATGACCGCGCACCCCGTCCGCTACAGCAACGACAAACTATCTCCTAGAGCTAGTATGGACGAGTGAGATACGCGCTTAACAATTCCCGTGGATTGGAACATAAACGCTGCGCGCTTTCGCACTAAAGCATGCGATCCGGACTCGGTAATGATATCGGATTGGCCATCTAAAGGGGAGGTCGTTGGACTGCTTTAGCTATGTACATCCACGTGTGGAAGCCTGCCTTTCCACCCATGCATCGGTCGTCCATCCGCCACAAGAATTCGGTGGACATTTCACAAATGGACAGGGTGGACTAGCTACGGCTGGGTTAACGAGTTATTTGCGACCTCTACCGCGTCTGTTTGCGCGCATATGTGACCTAGAACGCGGTCCGCATTCGCCGCAGTCGCGTTGCTGTGGTTGTCCCATCATCACGGTGTGTTGTATCTTCGTTCTCTGTTCCACGTGGAGCAAGGTTGACTATGAGGAGTAAGGAAAACATAATTAACAGTTTATGGCGGATGACATCTCATTCTCATTCGGTAACGTTTTGTGGGTTCATATATTCGTTTATCTTCATTTCTTTTCACCTCCTGTGAGTTTCTTTACCCCTCCCCATCCCGCTTATCTTCCTCTCCCCACTCACGACGTTGATAATCAGTGTGTAACCTATTTTTCTATGATGTTAATCATCTCGTTTTTCGTATATCTTCTATATACTGGGTCCCAATGGTTAAAGTGTATTCCTCACCTGATTATCTGTAATGCTGACGAGGATTTGTTTTTGCCTTAAAACCTTTTATGAGTCCAGGTTGTATAGCAGTGATGATGAAGCGATAATTCATCATTTTGCTTCATTCCCATAGCCCGACTTCTTTCATCATTCCCCATCTGCGGTAGCTCACACGTCGACTGACTTCTCTATGACCGGCACATCATTTGTCTTCATCCTACGCCGACCTGAAAATACGCTGCAAATTGAGCCTATTCCGCCATCTCGATGTCTTTTTCTCCATTGACGGCGTCCGTACCCTTTATCACTAAATACTTAAACTTTCACATACCATCAAGTTCTCATTCTTTTCATGAAATGTTCGTGGTTTTATGATAACTACCCTACTGCATTAAAATATTTTGGGGCTCTTCATTTCTTTCAGGTGTTTCCTCCAAACCTGAATCTCAGGTGGCTTCTTTACGTTCACCTAATTACCCGAATCATCGCCATCAGGATTTCAGTGCCGTCTTCGTTAACTCCTTTGTTCGAACTCAGGAGCCAAGTACCCAACCTGAAATAACCTTCTCTCACATTCTCACTGAGATGCGTGCATTTCGTCACGTAGACAGCGAAGGTACGTGATAGGTGATGGATTTCAGCACTGACTGTTTGTCACCGGGAGTCATAATTTCATATATATATATATATATATATATATATATAGTGACAGTCTATATGATAGACGGAGTCAGCGAAAACGATGAAATGGAAATGCTAATCACAAAGACCACAAAGAAGAAAAAGGATGAAAGTTACCAAAAAGCTTCTTTTTGTTTTTATTCTTATTTGTATTTTTCACACGCCGATTTTTCTCTTTTGTATCTTTATTGCTTGCGATGTAGATCAAGGGAATTAACACACATATTCATACACATTTTTCATTGGGCCCGGTTCTGCGCCATGTCCTAAAGAGTTTCCAGCTATCGATGTACTTCATGTTTGTTCCCCCAGCCCGGAAGACGCACAGCGCCTACGGCAACTAAACTGAAAGTCAGCGCTTTAATCGTTTATCGCCACTTGATCGGCTGACCACCGCGCGATTTCTTCCAGTCTGGTCCTGTGCGAGTGATGGCATGTGTAAAACGTGGCCCAACCATCTTCTTTGGTGCAGCGGTACCGCTCTGCCAAGTGGAAGTCCCGTGTTGCCCCAGACGCGACGTCCAGCATCGTCGTTGTAAACGTGCTTCGTACACCACACTTGAGCTATTCTCCGCAGACATCCGTTATCAAAGGCCGAAATCCGACGCAACTCACTCCCATACAGAAACACTGCGCACACACAAGCATTGCAGACCCTGTCTTTTACCAATAGTGAAACATCACAGCGTCGCCACACATGCCTCAGGTTGGCGAGCGCCGAACGGGCTTTGGCAATACAGAGGGAAATCTCTGTGCCAATGCTGCCATCAATAGAGACACAGCTTCCAAGGTAAACAAAGTTGTCCACTTGTTCAAGCTGCTTAGCTTGAAGTATGAGTTAGGGCAGGTAAATGCCAACCCAAGACCAGGACTTTGCATTTCGTTGGGGCAAAGGTCACGCCATATTTTGATGTTTTAATCGCCAAGCGGTTTAGAACTACTCTGTGCGTCATTACCAAGTAAGGCAATATCATCATCATAATCTAAATCGGTCAGGCAGTTGCCTGGAAGAAGATCGAGAGCGTTTAATCGATTACCAAATTAATGAGAAACAGGGACATGGGGCAACCCTGTCGTACACTGCTAGTGACGACAAAAGGTGGTAATAGCTTACCGTAAACCCACAGTTTACCTGAGACATTGCACTGTAACGCTCGGAGGATGGCGATATACTTTTCGGGTACGTCATTCCTTTGTAAGCACCGCCATAAAGCTGGCCGATCGACGGAGTCGGAAGTGGCTCGGATGTCTAGTAAAACTACGATAGTGGGTTGGCGGTAAAGATGACGCGTTCCAAGGAGTTTTTGGAGCGTAAACAAATGGCCTATACATCCTCGGTTAAGACGGAAACCAGCCTGTTCTTCACGGGAGCGCAATTCTCGAATCGGGGTTAGTCTGCGGAGTAGAATGGGTGTTAACAGCTTGGAGTCAACGGACATTAGACTGCTTTCTCGGTGCTTAGCGAACAGGATACGAGCACCCTTCTTGAAGATCGGGCGATAATTGACTCGCCGCAATCGGATGGAACTGTTTCTTCACACCAAATCTTACAGAACAGAGCTGTTAGCTGGTTGACAATTGCTTCGCCACGGAACTTGAACAGCTCCGTAGGATGCCCATCTGGGCCAGTAGACTTGAATCTCTTGTAGTGTCACAGCTCATGGCAGACCTCAGCTTCTGTGAGTGGTTCCAGTGAGACGTTCCAAGGTGCGCAACTAGTATACTCCTTAGGCTCATCAGCAGAGGTCAGCTGAATTGAGTGCGAGTGTTCAGCATAACCGTCTATGCGCATGTGTAAGTTGTTGTTCGGGGTTCCGTCAACGTCGCAGATAACCTCACTGACACCAGCTATTTTGTGGCCAGTGGCACGAATGACCTGGAAAAGCTTGCTAAAGTTCCCATAGTGGGCTGTCGTTTCCATCTTTGAGGCGCGCTGTGACCACCAAGTTTCGCGATCAGCTCGCTGACGATGTGACCATCTGCTTTGTGTTGTTGTGTTTCATCTCCTGGTCAAATTCTTCGTAACATCGACGACAATCTGTGGATGTAGTTCTTTCCTACTTGATTGGTTATTGTTCGATATCTGCGTGCTTGCTTGGGCTCTCTGTATGTCAGCCTCATCTGATCTCACGAGGCGGACTTCTGGCCGCCTGGCTGGTGGGCGGTCATTCTTTAGTCCTCCATTGCGTTTGCTCTATGAACTGTAAGACGACTTCCTGCTTCCACCTTAGCGCCTTACCTTATTCACAGTCACTGATCTTTTTACAATTTCCGGTAGACACTTCACTAGTCTATTATAGTATACTCTTCTTGCCGCTTTAGTCATGGCATCTCCGATTTGAGTCACCTCGGTGATCGATCCGCAGCAGAAGTGCACCGATAACTATGGCCGGCATGGCGCTCATCCGGTGGTTGACTCACAAAGGCATAAATTAGGGGTGGGGAAAAGAGAAAAAGACCGCGTTTACGACCCTCAAGCGTCCCATGAGCTGTGCACCACTACTGGGCTACTAGGATTCAGCTTTGCGTCTGGAGGTGCAATTTGACAGCAGTCAGAATGGAATAGGTGCCGTCCTAATGCAGGATGGTTATCACTTGAATTTCCGCATTCTGTAGCTCACAGTTGCGGAGCAACGCTATGCACTGATCGAAAAGTAGATGGTCGCTGTTGTTTACTCGACGGAGTTATTCAGCGATTACACCTTTTGGAGGTCGACTGCTAAGTGTACGAACCACAAACCCTCCGTGTCAATAGCCAGTAAACCGTTGCAGTGTCCCTCGAAGTCTTCAACGTAAGCTCATTTTGTTTACACCCCGGGGACGCTGATGTTCATCGCGCATACTCTGTCGAGGGCTCATATTCCGATAGCCGAACACTAATAGGAAGAAATCGAGACATCTGGCAGTAAATACAGATTGCCTGAAATACGCTATACGGAGGCAGGCGCGGCGTTATGGGTCGTGATTTCGAGAGGATGACCAGATACTAAGGACAAACTCCCTAAGGAATTGGCGGCATTCAACATTTGAGATGAACTTACGATGTATGATGGTTTGTTGTTCATAGGAAATCGCATTTTGATACCACCATCTCTCCGCAAAGAGATACTAGAACATGCTCATCATTCCCATATCATTATCAGAGCGTGCTGGCTGATGTTCTACTCTGGCTTGACGAGTCAAACACGAGGTCAAGTGTCAAGCTGTTCAGCTTGACGATCCCACGAAGAACGCCAAGCAAGAGAACCAATGATGCTGTGTGAGGTTCCAGATCGACTGTAACTGAAACTGGCGATGGACTTCTTCTGTAACACGGGAAAGAGCATTTAATCACTGCAGACTACTAGAGCGACTACTTTGCGATCCATCCACTTACCGCTACTACCACGTTAGCAGTCATCATCATCATCATCATTATACATGTCAGCTAGAGATGGTAAAACACCTCCGCTATTGTACCGCAATACATACAATACGTTAGCAGTCATCAATAAGATGCCAGTTCTCTCCCAGAGGTACTTGTCTCCGACAATAGCCCACAGTTTACAAGTGCTGCGTTCCAGATCTTTGCAAACAAGTGAGCAATTTTGCGTCTACAAAGCAATACGTATCACATCCAGTTAAATGGAAAGCAGAGGCAGCAATCAAACAAACCGTGAACCTGAGCCACCCATGACGATCCATATCTGATGGTTTTGGATATTCGGAACACGCCATTCTCGAACATCGGTCTCCGTCCAGTTCAACATTTGTACAGCAGGACAAGTACCCTGATACCTGCTACGGTTGCACTTTAAATCCCGGGTTTTCCGTTACATGAGCATGTGCAAGGGAGTTTAAGAAAAATGGATGACAAATCAGAAGCAGTATTACGACCACGGTACCCGTGTGCTACTCGAGCCATCAGTGAACGAGAAGTGTGAATCTATCCAGTACCGGATGTCAGCGGGCTATCGAAGATATGTGTAGTGTTCACGAAGTTCGGAGAAAGATCTTATGAAATCAACCTGAGAGGGGAGTTAATCAGAAGTATCCGAGTACGGCTGAGATAACTGCAGGAGCAGCTAAGGCCAAAAGGAGCGGAAGAGCGTACGATGTCTTTAGCGATACCGATGCGGCGGATCGGGTAACAGGTGGGATGTGCTGTAATTATGAAGTCAAAGGGACGATGCTTATTTGCATAACGAAGCAAGCGGCTTGATTGGCGCAAGCGAACGGAGCAGAGGATTAGACACCCACGTAGCTTCGCCATTACGCTGATTGGTCAATGCTTAGCTACACTGGAGTGACAGGTTAGCATCAGTGAATATATATATATATATATATATATATATATATATATATATATATATATATATATATATATATACATGTCTATCGCTCCCATTGGGAGCCGTTGACTGGTTGCTCAGTTCATATGCCTTTCTTTGGTTGCTTGACGAATGGGGTTCAATCCTCCACACTATTTGAGCTTCGCGTTGCTGGATACAATGCTCCACCGGAGTGAAGCAAGGAGCCTTGACTTTATTTACTGTTGAGTCACATCCGCTTGGTCACAGTGTTGTTAAACAGACACTTGTGGCTTTTTACAAAGGGAATACTTGCCAGTCGACAACCCTCGATGTCCAGGAACACTACCGCCGAACTATTTCCTGTAACTGGATAAACCCGAACCACCCGGCTAGCACCGCGAGGGGTGTGTTCGTCATGCCAGCCCCGATCATAAACGCTGATTGACTGAACCGATTTAGCTGTGAGTGTAGCGACATAGGATCTCCTGCATGATTAACGATATCGTCAGCGAATTCCAGGTTTGTCAATCAGAAGTCAGAGCGATCTTGAACACCAGGATAACCCTCAAGGACATGATACTTAAGTAAGTCAACCGCGAAGTGGAATAGCACTGGAGAAAGTAGGCAACTCTGCCGAACTCTAACATTGTT